TCCTGTGATACCTTAAAACAGTGCGCCCCACTCAGAAGGCCCTCCAAGCATGTTTGTGATGGGAGTGAGCATTGGGATTGATTTTTGTGGTTTAGTTATGGCTGTAAATGGTGTTTTATAGATTGCTTCTGTAGATGCACCCTGCTGCAAAATTAGCAGAAACAAGCAGCCTGGTTGTCAGCAAAGGCAGAGGCCTCGGGGCAGATGGGGCTCCCTGCATGGGGGGCAGGGAGGGGGAGCTGCCAGGCCGCATACCATTTCTCTGGTTTAAGAAGCTGTCATTGCAGTGTGCCCCGCCTGCAACCTCCTCTCCTCTAGGACCCGGGGATAGCCTGTGCACGTCAGAGTGCATTACACAAAGGGTGTGTCAGCATCCCACAGCCAAAGCAGCAGCTCCTGGAGCAGGAAAGGGGTCACTCTGGTCCATGAGGTCCTGAACACTTGAGACAAACCTTCATGACAAAAGCTTGAGATACGCTTGTCACGTGACTACACACCAAGAGGGCTGGAGCCAGGAAAGCCTCTTGGGCATTCACGCCCCTGAAAAACCTTTAGTGTACCCTTTCCATGGCCCGGCACTGGGCGAGGCACTGGGGATTCAGCAATGAATTCTGCAGTGTGGGCTGTGCCCTCCTGGTCGGGGAAACAGACAACAGGTACAAATAATATGAGCACGTCCACCTGGGAAGGAAACAAAGGGGCCCCAGTGGAGAATGAGGGTGGAGTTCTTCTAGAAAAGAAGTGCCTGAGTTTGTGGCCTCCTGATATAGGGCCCCCTCCCCTTCTGATATGGGGTCCCCTCCCCTGGTGTTAAGGCTCATCTAGACACTGCATGAAGCTGGGGACTGTGAAGATGTTACTAATTCAAATCGCATTGATGATGTCATAATGGGCCCCATATGGGTGGATGGAGAACCCCACAAGTTGAAGCAAAGGGACTCAAGGCAAGGAAGCAGCTGGCCAGTAGGTGGGAGGCCCAGTGACCTGGGCCTCTAACAGACCTGGCCAGGTCCCGCGAGGAGGCCAGCAGGCGGCCATGGCGCTCAGCCTCTCGGCCACGTCCATCCCCAACAACTGGCTCCCAGCCTTCCCCGAGGTAACTGGCTGCTCCCGAGGTCTGTTCTGGGGGGAGTGGGGGGGGTCGTGTCCCAGCCACAGGGAAGTGCCCTCCTGGGTGCTGGGCTGTCTTAAGGATCGTGGGGGATCAAAATGAGCCAGGTGTGGTCCCTGCACTCCCCTTTCTGACAATTAGACCTAGAGCAGGTGGCTGATTAGAACAATAATCGTCTGCCTCTGGCTAACTTGCTAAGTGTTTATGGATTCATTTCGAATAGCCCTGCCTGGTCCCCTGGCCTCTCTCCATGTTGCCCCCCAGCAGGCACTGAGTTCAAGGGCAGCTCACCCACCGGCAGTAATGTTTTTGAAAATCTAGATTAGTTTTTCTCAGAAAGGTCTTAGGATAGCAGAATTATTTGCATTGTGGGTTATAAATGCACATCCCTGGGGCTCAGCTAAAGCTTCCAAAGCAGAATTTCAAGTGTGGGGTTTGCGAACCTGCATTTTAAAAGCACGACAGGTGGGCTGACCCTGAGTACCTAACCCAGCTCCCAAGTCCCCTGTGTGGCTGACCAGGGCAGTGGGTTTCTCTCTCTGGGGATGGGTGTTAACTTTGATATTTTTATCACTGTTGAAAAGCCATGATTCATTCATAGACTGCCGGCAGTCAGCTGTCCATTTGGAAGGAATCAGAGGCCACTGAGAGCAGAATTCTCTATCTTTTGACCCATCTATAAAATGCTTACCTGAGCAGACACTGTTTAAAGGCCATTAAAATACCAGACACAGAAGAACCCAGTCCCTGGAACTTTATAGACATATTTACTCAAACCCCAGTGCTTGTGAAGAGTAAATAAAAGACAAGCAAAATGAGCAAGCACCCCTGGAAATACGAACTGAAAGTAAACAGCCTGTTCACTAAAATAAACAGGACAAATCCAGAGAGGATTAAATGACCTCTAGTCAGGCAAACTCAGAGCCAGAAAGGCCCATGTCGGCTCCAGAAGGAAGGAGAGGTGAGGTTCTGTTGCTGCCACCCATGGGCACCGCCTTGCTGGGTCCAGGCCAGGTCTGCAGGGAGAGGTGTGTGTGTGTGGAGGGGGGGTGGCTCCCAGGCCTTCCTGGCAGCCTGCCAAGGGGCCTGAAAAGCTCTAAAACTGAAAAGGACTGCTCTAGAAGGTCCCTGGGGGAAGGTGTGGGTACCACCAGCCACTGTTTTTTATTCTTACACTTCTTCATTCATTTAGCAAACATTTGTTTAGCACTTGCTGAGTTTCGGGCCCTGCGCCAAACACTAAAGATAGCAAGATGAGGAAGGCCTAGGGAGAGATAATAATAGAGAGCATGCGTGTCCCTAGCTTCCTAGGGACACAGTGAGTGATGAACAGCAATCTGTTATCTCCGTAAATTATGGAGTTATCACTGGTATCGTCCCCTGTTTCACTGGTGAGAAAACCGAGGCTCAAAGTCTGTGGTATTATCATAAATGTTTAACCAGTAGCTCTTTGGAAGGAAAAAAAAAAGGAAGGGTGGGTTTGTAGCGTTCACCAGTCTCAGTCATGTCAACGACCCCAGGTGGGTTTCAAGCCACCAGCCTGAGGGGAGGGGATGGACGTGGGAGTCAGTTGCAGCTAATAAACAGAGGAGCCGGATTTGAACTCAGGGTGTGAGATCCCAAGCCCACATGCATCCCACCCTGTTCTTCTGTCAATAGTGACAGTAGCAGTCTGTGGACATGAGAGGGATGCATCTTAAGACCTTTGTGAGGTGCCAGTTTTACAGGTTCTATAAAACTTCCAAGGTTAATAACCCCCCCATAATTCTGCTTTTATTGCCCATCAGAGCAGCCAGTTTTCTTCTGAGGGCTATTCAAAACATCTTTTTCTTTTGAAATAATTATATATACACAGGTAGTCTGAAACAATAGTCCAGAGAGCTCTTTCATTCCTTAACCCATTTCCCTCACTGGAAATATGTACCATCTCACAACTAGACAAGTGACATTGATCAAGTGTGTGTGCAAAGGTCTATGCCATTTATCTAGGATTGCCAGACCCAGCAAAGAGAAACACAGGACACTCAGTTAAATTCTACATTCAGTGTAAGTGTGTCCCATACAACACTTGGGATATACTTATACTAAGAATTTAATCCTGGCTTATCTGAAATTCAGGTGGCTGCCCCATGTTTTATCTGGCATCCCTAATTTTTTTTTAAAGATTTATTTATTTATTCATACAGAACTGGGGTACAGGCCAGAGATGCGGAGGGTGAGAGGATTCACCAGAGACAGAGCTGGGAGCAGAACAGGCAGATCTATGAAGTACACCGCTGAGGGGAGCGGCGGGCTGGTCAGGAGAGGTCTGCCACGCCATGTGGATCTCCTCCAGGGCAGGCGGGAATCGAACTCATGCGGCAGTGGCTTTAGCTTCTTAGTGCTGTGCTTTAACCTGCTGCGCCACCAGGGAGGGCCCTCCTTATCTTTTTTTAAAAAATTTTGTTTAAAATGTCAGTATTGAAAACATTTCACCTACTTCCCCTTCCACATGTAGACACAATATCCACATCAGAGGATCAAGAGCTTCGCGTGGTCATTTCTTAACTAAAGGGTTAGTGTTAAATGTTAACCAACAAATGCTTACAAACTCAGAGTACAGAAGAAATGAAAGTCAGGGTCACAGGAAGTACTTAAAGACCATCTGTCCACTTGTTACTCTTAAAATTTACATGTGAATATACTTTTTGAAGGTTTATTTATTCTTATAGAACTGGGGTACAAGCCAGAGGTGCAGGGGCAGTGAGAGGATTCGACAGAGACAGAGTGGGGAGCAGAACAGGCAGATGGATGAAGTACAAGCCTGTTCACTAAAATAAACAGGACAAATCCAGAGAGGATTAAATGACCTCTAGTCAGGCAGATTCAGAGCCAGAAAGGCCCATGTCGGCTCCA